GGTCTGACCAGTGCGGCTTGCCTGATGGTCAGTCTGCTGCTGGTGACGCTGAAACTTTTATGTCCTCTAAAGAAATTATTATACATTCTTAGCACCTGTTCTCTCATAATTTAACAGACCGTTAAAGCAAAAGTTCATTTTCAGGTATGTTTATCTGATCCACGATGTGAGCGCTTGCAGCTCGAAGATCTGCTAATTTCACCACTGCAGCGCATAACGAAACTCCCAATAGTGCTGAAAGAGATTCATAAATATACGCAGAATACAGAAGATAAAGCGAGCATCGAAAAAGTTATTGAGAATATGAGCGAGTCTCTAAGTAAGTATAATAAGTATAATGCATAATCAGTGATAATGAACGTGACCGATTTATTTTAATTTCAAAATTTTGCGTTGGTACCTTGTATTACAAGAAACCATGTGTTTTGACATTTTGTGAGGAAACTGGATGATAACTGGAGGTAAAGTGTGTTGCAAATGACTACGAGTCGGGAAGGGATCGAACAATTGTCTTTACATTCGGACACGACTGCTAGACCATTGCATCACTGGCTGTTATCAACCTGGGAGCACTTCTACTGTGTATCTGCCTTTGAATTGGTGCACAATTTTTTTTCTTGTGCTTCGTTTTCCTTGGTACGATCCATAGCCCCTTCATAACGATTCCTTCATTGCCGGCTTTTTATGAGTTTTTCGCAACAGCATGCGACTGAGAATCGCAAATCTGCATGTCTAAGTGTCTCGAGATGTCCTTGATTCTTATCGAAGCACGGGTAAATCATTTTTAATGTGATGTGATGCCTCACTAATGTGGTGTGATACCTCAATTAAACCCTAGTGAAGTGATACCTCACTGTCCAGGCGTCATCTTGCATTTCCGCCACAAAACTTGCTGTAAACCTTTGCACTCAGGATCAATCGATGGCTCGGTTCAATGGTTGCACAATTTCGAGCGATTGCAGCAATTCCAGACTCTGGTTATCTGGCCATCAATAATGGAACTGGAGCCACGCACATATATGCCAGATGTACGTGAATTAAGTATTTTGCCAAACTTTCGGAAACTT